TCGTGTGTGTGTGTGTGTGTGTGTGTGTGTGTGTGTGTGTGTGTGTGTAAGTTTACCAAATTTAGGGAGTCTCCATCAATACAGGGGACACAGAAAGAAATGGCTTGTGTTGTGGGGAGCACCAGAATTAACTGCTGGTGTGTTACAATTGATTTGCATCTTCAGCAGTGGTCAGGGCTTCGGCAAGAACCACCATGTATTTTTTCCAGTCTGACCCCGGTCAAAGGTATTGACAGAGACTCTGGCAGCAGCAAACTTCCTCACAGCAGTGCCCACCCATGCCCAGACAAGAGACTGGCTGTCAGGAACAGCGCCTGGCCTTTGACACTAAGAGGGGATCCCAGCAGCATGAGCTGCCTTGCAGCAGCCCTCTCAGTACCCAGCCTGGGAGAAGGGATTTTGGGAGCTCTCAGAACTGCCCAGCACAGCACCCCGCATTCGCTGCCCCCCATTACCTTGTCATAGGAGGAGGTACTGAGATCCTCATAATCTGAGAGCCAGGGGTGAGCCTCTGCATCTCGCTTGGCCATCTCCTCCCACTCTGCCTGAAGCTTGTCCCAGAAATCCACATCTGACTGAAGAGAGGAGAAGGAAGTTAAAGGATAACACCCTGCTGAGCTCCCCCTACATGTTCCCTGGAGATTCCTCTCTCTAGGGCTCTGAGCCTCGCTCCTCATCTCTCCCCTGGCAAGAAAAGGGACTCAGCCAGTTCTGGGGCCCTAAGGCACCCTTCATACCCCAACCTCTCTGTGACGTTCTGTACCTCATGGGAAAACCCTACACCCTCCATCTTCATCCTTATAAAATGATTGTGTGGTATCCAATGCAAAGTTTGTTATGTTGGGTGTCTTCAGAAAGCTCATGATGCACTGAGCATTGTTGTTACAGTAATGTTATACGTTATAATTTTGTGTATATGGTTATAAGGCTGAAAATGTGTCCTCATGGCTTAAAGCAAGCCCAGGCAAAAACTCCAAGAGCAGAGGGGCAGTTCACACCCCCTCAGGACATGTATGGGACAAACCCAGCCCAGCCTCACAGGAACAAGGGACACTGGCCTAGGCAACAACAAAGGATCTGTTGGACTCTTGAGTGAGTCACCCCCCCCCCTTCCCTTAGTCAGTTTGGGACTACGATGAGGTAATGCTCACCTGACTCTGAAGTTTGTAAGGGTATTGAAAGTGTTAAGATCAGCTTAGAATGCATTTTGCTTTTATTTCATTTGACCAAATCCGACTTGTTATGCTTTGACTTATAATCATTTAAATCTTTGTAGCTAATAAATCTGTTTGTTTATTCTACCTGAAGCAGTGCGTTTGGTTTGAAGCGTGTCAGAGACTCCCCTTGGGATAACAAGCCTGGTACATATCAATTTCTTTGTTAAATTGACAAACTCATATACGCTTGCAGCGTCCAGCGGGCATAACTGGACACTGCAAGACGGAGGTTCCTAGGGTTGAGTCTGGGACCAGAGATATTGGCTAGTGTCATTTGGTTGCACAATCCAAGCAGCTCACATGCCAGAGGCTGTGCGTGAACAGCCCGGGAATGGGGGTTCTCTCAGCAGAGCAGGGCAAGGCTGGCTCCCAGAGTCAAGGATTGGAGTGACCTAGCACATCACCGGTCCAGATAACTCCAGAGGGGAACGTCACACTCTCCCATCCAGTTTTACCTCCACAGCAGTCTTGGCTTGCTCAAATTCTGTATCCAGAGTGGATGCATTCCCAGTTCGGGTGAACTGATCCACCCAGGCATCTGATACCCCCTAGAGGGAAAGAAATAAGATGGAGCTCCTTGAGATTGCAAGATTAAAAAGCAATGCAATGCATCTCCCCTGCCAGCAGGGGGTGCTGTAAGGAACCCCCCCTACAAGTGAACACTAATTGCCAAGGCATCGCTGTGAAGAAGTTCACACTGCCAGAGACCATCTCTGCTCCTGGCTAGGCACTGCTTTGGAGAAGCTCATGCTCCGGAAGCCCCACGCCACCGTTGGCTGAACATTAATGGGACCCTGCTGAGAGAAAGTTCACCCTGCCATTGTCTCTCCCCTCCCCAAGGCTGGGCAGTGCTGCAAGGAAGTTTGCACACTGTGAGCAGCTGGGGCTGGGGTCCTACCTGCTGCTGTATAAACTCAGCTGTCCACTGCTCTGCCTGATCCTGGTCTCTGGGGGTCAGGGTCACCTGATTAGCCTCAATCGACACCCTCCCGTCTCCGATCTGGCGGACAAACTTTAGGAACTGTGGCAAAGAAATGAAATGTGGGAAGAAACCTTCACCAACAACCCCCACCAAACTCTCCATATTTGCTAGGCAGATCTGGGCCCCCAGAATCAATAGCACCAGAAGGAAAAGGAGATAAAATACGCCAGTTTCACCAGAGTTGTATGGTGGAAGGCATGATCCTGGGGGTTGTAGGGCTCAACCCCCAGAACTAGAGGGAGAAAGGAGGGGAGACACAGAATGGCACGAGGTCTCCCACCCCCTCACACACATACCTTCGTGGGGCTCCATAGCATTTCTCACCTCAGAATTGTTGAGTTTTGGGTCATCCACTTTAGAAAGGAAATCGTTGGCAGTTTTCTTAAGATCATCCTCAGGTTGATATTCCTCATACCTGTAATAATGAGAGAGAGAGAGAAAGAGAGAGTCTGATCTGACACTAAGGGCTTGGCTACTCGTAGAGTGCTTTAAGTTAAACCAGCCTTCGGAGAGCGCACTAGGGAAAACGCTCCAGTCTGTCCATACTGAGAGCTGAAAGCGCACTGGCGTGGCCACATTTGCAGCTGCATTGGGAGTGGTGCATTATGGGCAGCTATCCCAGCGTTCAAGTGGCTGCAACGTGCTTTTCAAATTGGGTGGGGTGCAGTATGACAGGGAGTGTGGGGGGAGAGAGAGTGGGTTTTTGGGTGCTGAGAGTGTGTCAGCACGCTGTCTTGTAAGTTCAGACCCCTCTTCCTCCCCCGCCTCTCTCTCACTCACTCAAAGCAAACATTAGCTGTTTGGTTTTTTTCCTCAGACCAGATAAGCAGCCTGCACTCCGAAACTGAGCTTTGAAAGGGCACTTCGGTGTCCCAAGTTCAAAAAGACAAGAGAGGCCACTTCAGTTAAGGGGATTATGGGATGTTTGTAATGTTACTTCTCGTTTACACTGGCACTGAAGCATCTCACCCAATACGCAACAGCTGTTAATCCTCTCGGGGAGGTGGAGTACCAGCAGGGCCAGCTCCAGGGTTTTTGCCGTCCCAAGCGGCGGGGGGAAAAAAAAAAAGCCGTGATGGGCGTCACTTCGGCGGCAGCTCCACCACACCGCTTTCTTCTTCGGCGGCAGGCCCTTCCCTCTGAGAGGGACCGAGGGACCTGCCGCTGAAATGCCGCAGAAGAGCTGGACGTGCTGTTCCTTCCCCTTGGCTGCCCCAAGCACCTGCTTATTGCGCTGGTGCCTGGAGCTGGCCCCGAGTACCAGGAGCGCTCGAGCCAGGGAGTCAGAGCACTCTACGTGTCTTGCCAGTGTGGACGGGGAGTAAGGTAGAGCCCTCTGAGAGGCTTTATTGCAGTATAACGTGCCAGTGTAGCCAAAGCCTTAGCAGTAGGGGGCTCCATGTTTATTCACAGTCTACCCCCCTCTCTGCATCAGGCCACACAACAGTCCTTGGGCCTGGAGAGCCCACATGATCTGTTCTTCACCCAATACTATTCAGTATCTTTATTAACAATCTGGAAGTCATTGCTGGGATAACTATGCCAGATGACACACAGATTGGTGGAGTGAAATAAGGATAAATCAATTATATAGAGCAATCTGGATCGCTCGGTAAGTGTTTTAATACTGCCAAAACCAAGGTCAGATATCTAGGAATAAAGAACACAGGTCACACATACAGGATGGGGGCTGTATCCTGGAGAACAGTGACTCTGAAAAGAGTGGATAATCAACTGAACTAGTAGGAAGCTTGGCTAAGACGGCAAATGCAATCCTTGGACATATAAACATGGGAATAGCAAACAGGTGTAGGAGGAGTGGCTTTACTTCTGTATACACATTGGTGAAGCCATTCCTGGAAGTGTCTAGTTCTGGTGTGTATATTTGAAAGAGGATATTGAAAATTGGGAAAGGGTTCAGAAAAGAACAACAAGAAAGATTCAAGGTCTGGAAAACCAGCCTTCCAGTGATATAGCTTATTAAAGAGAAGGTGAAGTCATGGTCTATAAATAGCTACAAAGGAAGAAGATATCTGATGGGAGAGAGCTCTTTAATCTAGCCAACGAAGACAAACAAGATCCAATGGCTAGAAAATGAAGCTAGATACATTTAGACTGAAGATGAAGTGCAACTTTTTTAAACAGCAAGGATAACTAGCCATTAGAATAACTTCCTAGGAATGCGGTGGATTCTCCATCACTTGAAATCTTTAAAGCAAGGCTCAGTATCTTTCTAATGGATATTCTCTAGCTCAAACAGAAGTTACTGGTCTTTGTGATGACATCCCTGGGCTAGATTCACAAAGGAATTTAGGTGATGTGATGCAGAGCACTGCAATGCCTAACTTTTGGGCACCCAGAAAAATCACAGGAACAACACTGTGATCCATAAAGCCTGAGTTAGGCGCCCAGGCTCCCTGTACAACGACTGAAGAGAGATGGGCACTGTATAATGTGATTCGCAAAAGCCAGTAGACTAGGTGAGGATCCACCTAAGCAGGGCACAGAGATAGGCACCTGCGTCTGCTAGTGATCCACAGCCAGGAGCCCCTCTCCTGGAGTCAGACTCTTCAACTTAGGCACATAAGGTGTTTCTTGTGAAAACAAGTTAGGCAGGTGTCTAACTCCACATAAAACAGCCAGAGGAGAAGGAGGACGATGTGGTGGTGATACCCAACTTTATATATATAGCCCAATAGTTTGAGCACTCACCTGGGATGTGGAAGACCAGATTCAATTCCCCCTCTCTGCCTGAGTGGGAGAAAGGTGGGAGACCCCTGTTCAAGTCTTCTCAGGGATATTCTGATGTGGGCCTCCAGCAGACTCTCCTGTTGAAGCTGTTCCACTGTGGATAAATACTTAAAGAGTCATTGGCCAGAGGGAGAGAGAACGACTCTGTAGCCTGGTGGTTAGAGCACTCACCTGGGAGGTGGGAGACCCTGAGTCCAGTTCCCTGGCTCCCATGAATTTTTAAAATTATTTATCCACAATAGAACAGCTTCAGCAGGAGAGACTGAGGGAGCCCCACACCAGAATATCCAATAGCCCAGTGGTTAGAGCACGCACCACTGGGCTAAAAGTTATAAGGTGGCTGCTGCCACCATCACCATCTCCAGATGGATTTTGAATGGGACCTGATGCAGTAGGCAGCCTCTGAGCACATCCACTGGATTGAGCACCCACAGGACTTAGGCAGGTGAACATCTATCTTCCCCGAGTCTGTGAATCGTTCTGGGGCTTAGGTGCCCAGACACCTACTGTGAGGCAACTATGCACATGCCCAGAAACTTAGGAACTGGGGAACTTTTACCCTGCAAGTGTAGACACTGCATAAGTTTAGGCACTACAGAGTTTGGCAGGAGTGTGAGGTGCAACGGAGCCTAAATCTGGAACTTGGGCATCTAAATCTGGGGTTTAGGCACTTAAGTACCTTTGTGAATCTAACCTTCTGTTCTGCAGGAGATCAGACTAAATGATCATAATGTCCCTTCTGGCCTTAAACTCTATGGCCTAGTCTACATTAAAGGGAAAAGTCGATCTAAGCTACGCAATTTGAATTACTTGAATAGTGTAACTCAAATCAACATAGCTTAGATCTACTTACCGCAGCATCCACACTACACGACGTCGATGGGAGACACTCTCCTGTCGACTCCCCTTACTCTTCTCGATCAGGTAGAGTACAGGAGTCCACGGGAGAGCAATCGGCGGTCAATTTAGCGGGTTTTCACTAGACCCACTAAATCGACCACCAATGCATCGATTGCTGCAGTGTAGACAAGCCCTATGAAACCAGGGTCCCTGTGTTTAGTTATGTTGTTGTTGAAACTGCCAGTGTTGGGTGGAGGAGGCTCTGCCTCTTCCGCTTTCTTGAATCAAGGATCTGAGAACTTGGTTGAGACCCAAAAGCTCTGAGATCAGAGTGGATTTCTGTCATCTCCCACACCTCACCCACCCTGGACATTAGTGGGTGCAGGAGGGAAGAACAGAGAAACTCACCACTTATCTGCCAGTGACTGGTCTTCTGTTTCCCCCAGCCACAGCTTCTCCTCTGACTGCTCCAGATATTCTTCTGCCCACTTGGCAGGAGATACAGACAGAGGGTCTGTACCGGTAATTGGGTGGTGGGAGAAGAGGGAGGAACAAGAAGATAAAACAGAACACTGCTCAGAGAAACTTCAAATTTAGATCTCTCCAATTTACAGTTAGATTTGTAGTCCAGATTGTTACATTAACAGAGGGTTCTTGCTTTTTTATTAAAAAACAAAAACAACAAAAAAACTTGGACAGCAGCGAAGTGGGAAATTTCATTCATCAGGAAAATGAATAACATTACATATTTCTAGCTTCTTTCATCAGAGCCTCTCAAAGATCATCATAAATGTTAAGTATGACGTCTGTCTCCAACGGGTGTATGAAAGGAATAAATATGGATAGTTTCACTGATCAATGAAAAGAAGCCACCTCTGGGGTGGGGCATAGCAGCTGTTTAACTGCTGCCCAACAGTTCAAGGTAGAGATTCAGTTGGTTAGAGCGGAGGAGACTAGAGTCCATCCCAAATCTTCACATGCTGTGTGACCTTGAGCAAGTCACTTCCCCAGCTAGTGCAACAAGCAGAGTATTCCCCTCCCAGCAGGAAACATTAATTGCATTTGTTTTCAGGCACAGAAAGGACCCCACAACATTTATTTTGAAGCAGGAAACATAGATTCCTCCCCCCCCCCCCCCACGATTGCAGAAATTGATTAACAGATTTGGCTGAAACATTCAACAAAATATTCCCCTCTGGGCCAGGACCCAAGTTTCACCCCAAGAGGGAGCATCAGAGAGCTTCATGTAGCCGGGGAGAGACCAGCTTTAGCCTTGTCTATGTGGAAAAGCTGCATTAGTTTAAATTAACGTTTTTTAAACCAAATTAGTTAAACTGATGCAAACCTCGCACTGGACACTTATTTCAGTGTAAGAGCATCTTAGTTTAGCTTAAACCTGTTCCCAAAAGATTTTAGCTAAACCAAAATAAGACATTCCTGCACCACAATAGGAAGGCCCACACGGGTTGCTTGCACGGTTTAACTAATACACACAATACTCTAGTCTCCTAGGGGCTACTTTAAATTTTAAACACAACAACTGAAATGAGACCACAGTGCGGGTGCTGGTGGTCTGTGACTCACAGGAGGTCAGACTAGATGATCTGGTGGTCCCTTCTGGCCCTAAACTCTATGATTCTAAATCAGGTTAATTTCACCCCTCATGTTGTACCAGTGTGACATTCCCACGGAGGCAAGCTGCTAGGGCGAACTGCCCTATTCTGAATACTATCTGCTGCGTCTACCAGATGCACTCTAATCTCACGCACGACAACCCCTGCATGGGAGAACAGAGGGGGGCATGCTACCAGGCAACACCCCACCCAAACTTCACAAAGGAAGCCTTCACCTGTCACCTCCGCAATGAACTCCTGCGACCAGTCAGCCTCATTGTAATCTGGGAAGACGTCAGTTGTAGTATCCGCAGCTCCCAGAAATTCCTGGGCCCAGTTCTCAGATAGAGCCAGGGCTGCCACACCTGGAGCTGGGAGAGGGCAAGAGATGGGGATGGTTCAGTGACAAACCCCAAGTGCCCCACCCCCATGAGGATTAGAGAAAGCCTAGCCTCTTAATTTTCAGACACACCCTGCCCTAGCTAAACAGGCCTTCTCTTTCAGTTCCCCTTAACACATACCACTGGGGGGACGGGGGGATGGCAGAAACCCCAATGCCCCTAGCCCTTTCTCCCCCCCCCTCACCTCGCTGTGGGGCTTGGCGGAAGCTTGACTGCTCAATCTCCTGCATCTCAGCCAGCAGATCATCCATTTTAAAGGTCTGTGGGGCACGGGAGAGCAGGGGGGCATTCTGCTCTTGTAGGAATTCTGCAGCCAGCTGCCAGGGAGAGAAAGAGAGAGTTTTTGATGAGAAATACCCAGCAGGAGCTCTGGAACCAAAAACATGAGAGAAAGAAGGGAGGGCAAAAAGGGAATGAGAGACAGGAAGAGTGAAGACGGAGCAGAGAGAATGTGGCAGCAAGAAAGATAAGGGGAGTGATACAATTGTTCTTACCTCATCTTCAGAGGCCACTCCCAAAGGTTTGGACACCTGTGGGAAAAGATGCCAAACAATCACCTGGCCTCCAGCATCACCTCCCCACTACCATGGGACTAACTTGTACCATACCCCCACCCATGACAGACCCACACCACACACACAGCAGGACCAACATCCCACCCAGACAGATCCCCTGCAATGGGTGAGACAACCACATCTCTCCTTTCTGGATATACCCCTGCTGTGACTGGACAGACTCCCCCTCCCCCAATCTAGTGATCCTACAACCAGCCCCTACAATGGGGTAGGCCCCATGATCCCTCACAGCCCTTCTCCCACTAACAAGACAGCCCCCTCACAACCTCCACCTGCCCTGACAGCCTCCCGTATGCTCAGACAGACCCCCCACTCCTGCTCCCCAAAGCCCCAGTGCATCCCTGCCCCTCACTCGCAACAGAAGAGACATACCAACACTCCTCACATCAGCAGTCAGATGGACTCCCCAACCCATTCCCCAGTACTCACTGCCTCTGCTCCAAGACCTGCAGGGGGCCAGGCCGAGGGACCTCGGAGCCCCTCCTGCCGCAGGGCCTTGTCCTGGGTAAAGTGGCCAGCCAGCTTCATAAGGGGGTTAGAGCCCCCGCACTCAGGCTCCACGAGCTCCCTCATGGCCATGGTGAGGGCAGGGGGCACTGCACCTCACCCTGTCTGAGGGGGAAAAAAACCCAGAAAGCACGAGTGATGGTAGGGCTCTAGGACCCCTGGCAGACAGCGCACCACGGGGGATGCAGAGCCTTGCCCAGCACTCATCTGCTCCATAAACAAGCTGATGGGGTTTCATCTGAGCTTTATGGCGGCGGGTACACATGTTACAGACTGCCCCCGCCCCCAAGCCGCCTGAGCAAAGACCAAGGACCGAATGACCATAGGGGCCGAACACGCCTTCCCCCCAGGAGAAGGAACCTCACAGGTCGTGGTGTGGCCACCCCTAGAATGGCTTGACGGGGGTGGCTGGGTGGGATGCAGAAGGAAAGCGCTGCGGACGCCATGACAAAGAGGGGGCCTTAAGCCCCCCTTTATCTGCCCTTGGGAGGGAACCCCGCCTCCCCCAGCCCTTCTCCTCCCCCCCCCCGCCTCGCTGTCTCACTCTGTCACTCCACCTCGTCCCCGTCCCTCCCCGTTTCCTACCCCTGACACACACACATTCTGAATACTATATGCTGCCCTTGCTGGGCCTCCCTTTCCCCGGGGGCCTCAATCATTGTCCGTCCCCTTGCACTTGGGCAGATGCAACCCACTCCCCAGGGCTGCAAGGCCTCAGCCGCCCCCGCCAGCCAGGCACCTCCCTATCTCACCCGGGCCGGAGCTAAGGTGAGGGCAGGGAGGGGGACTAGGGGCTCCCCTCTTTCCATACGCTACCTTAGCTCTGACTCTGCCGCAGCTTTTGCAACACTCACCAGGCAGAAGGGGGCGGAGCTAGCTCTTAAAGGGACAAGCGCCCTACGAGGGCAGCGGCGGGAAAGGGAAGTGTTGAAGAGCAAGTGGCAGTCACCCTCTGCGAGGTAGCGCTCTCTTACAGCGTCATTCACACAGGGGTCCCGACCGCGTCTAAACTCAGGAGTTGCACTAAACTGCTCTAAATAAACAGGATTTAATTCAACTAGTGTTTTAACTTGAGTTGAGTTAAACCAGTGCAATTTCGGTGTGTAGACAAGTCCCAGGAGAGAAGAGAAGTTTCAAGGACTAGGCACCAAGGAACAGCTGTGGGAGTTCTTAAAGGGCCACACACCCTAAGCGCCCCCACGCCCTCTGCACCCTAACAGAGCAGTACCACCAGAATGCTCTTAAAGGACCTAAAAGAGCAGCTCAGTGAGCTCTTAGAAGGCCAGCGACTATGGCAGAGCAGCACAAGAAGCTTTTCACTCTCTTCCTGAGGCCTTGTCTACACT